TCATTTTCTTAGCCTTACAAAATGGTTAATTCCAGTCTTAATTCCGGTTTTATTTATGATAAAGCACGGGTATGACCACTTCACCCAATGCTTCTGTCTATCACTGTGAAACACCGTTAGCAAACAGTCTTAGCAACCTTAAATGAGCCAATCAAAGAAAATGCTGGAGTGACATTCTCACGGTTACAGAAAACACTGCTGAACCTCAACTAAAATTAATCTAATATCACCAGAGTGGATTATTGATTATTGCACCAACATTTTGTACAGGACGTCATTTCCTTTTCCTCTCCAACTGGTTGGCCTCCTGCAGTAACGTTACACAAATAAAAATATACATTTTACCATTTTCCTCGATGGGGAAAAAATCCAAGTTAACATCAATCAGTACTTAATATTAATTTAAACTGCATATTCAAACTGCTTTAAATATGACTGCTACTTGTTTCCTGTGCACTTCAATACTGATCTGCGCTTGACTGTAGTCTGTCTGCTTATTGAGTTTATTTAACCCATCGCAATTTATTGGAACTGTGTGAACTAGTGACTACTCACCTTAATGTTGTTCTAAAGGCTTATTACTTAACACACAAATTTTCTGCTCGCACTTGCCAATTAAATTTTTTTTGGCGGATGCATATTTGTCTTAAAATAATCCTATGCATCTCATGGCGTATATTCCAAGCATTCTGAAGGTATGCTGTGGGTTTGGTGAGAAACTTTTATGAAAATCTTGCGTTGCAGTCCTGTGCGAGTGCGCAGCAGCTCACGCCATGCACAAGTGCATATCCTTTTGAGATATCAATTATAATCAATTTTAATAAAACACAAGTCTACATTATAAAACTCTAACAGTAGGCTATTTAAGATCTGTTGTTCTGTTGTCAGAATGACAGTTCTTGTGTAAACATTATAGGCCTATTTATTGGCCCAAGCCAATTTATTATTCTTTCCTTTTTGCCTTAGTGTTTAAAATATTTATTTTTTAAATGAATGAATTACTTTATTAAACAAACAGACTTACTGGGTGAGCAGGGTAGGCTATGACAGCCATCATATCATACCCTGCCATGCCCAGCTGATGCAAAGAATAGAATTTATATCTACGCAGAAGAAAGCCCTGTCTAGAGTCTGCCCCGTTACAAGTTGTCGAGCTATTCATAAGTCTGTTTGTTTGATGAGAAAAAGATGAAATGTATAAATGCGTTAAGAATCCATACAACTGCAGCAG